CATATTCATTGCAGAAAAAGTACTAAATGGATAAGAGGCGCTATTTAGCACGTTTTAAAGACCAAATCCTTTTAGCACGCTGTTGATAGATCAGTTTGTACATTTTTTAGCGTGCGCGGTGAAATAGCTCACGTTTTTATACACGCAAACCTTTGATAGATCCGGCCCTCTGTGTATACAAATTTTCATTCCCGAGTCCGATCTGAGGCATTTAGGAATAGTCTACGTTTGTTATAAACTTCAGACAGACATTTAATTAAGTTTTTTTTAATAACAAGGTCTCATATAGGCTTTTAGGGGCTGAAACTTTTAAGAGGAGGACCAAAATGTCTTACAGTTTGTAGCCCAACCAGCGTTTGTAAGGATTAGCCCAGCCTTATTGTTGATGAAGTAATACAAAAAGTTGTTTTCCGTCATCAGAAGCTTGTATAATGATACCATGAAGAGCCGTGTGTGGAGAGCAAAGGGTGAAAAAAATGCCTTGGCATTCTGTAAAGGTTCTATCTATCTAATATGTGCATGTACGCCTTGGAAGAAAAGTTTTTGTATTTCACAAAACATGCTATGCATCTTTCTTGGGCTTTGGGTGATAAAGCACTAGACCAACAATTAGTAGATAAAGGAATTGAATTTTGTCAAGGAATCCTGATCCCTGACCCTTTAGCAGTGCTGATCAGGAGCCAGAGCTAGAGTCTAGGATCATATCTGGATGTCCCAAGTACCTGCATTTACAGATCAGTAATTTGTAATATGGGCCGCAGCTGGCTATTACAAAATTATATTTTGAACACTAGGAGAAACTGCTTGCCTTTTTATCTCCTCAACCTTCTGGTTACATGTGTTTGGAATCCCTTTTCTCCTGCATACCGATAACACTTTGCATTTCAGTTCAGTTTATGTATATAGAGACAAATATTCTGATGTTATCTCAATGCACTTTGAAAAAGGACAAAATTCAATCTAATCAAACAGAAGAGCTCTTATGTGCAGAGCAATACCTACTTTTGCATGAAGGACATGGATTGTTTGTCTTTGTTTGTCTTCTTTTAGCTGCATAGGACGAGTGGAGGGATTTTCATTTTTAATACCTGGAATGTTTCAGGTATCCTGGTTTGTATGAGGTTTAGATTTATAGTGAGAACAAGGTGACTAGTTGCTATTGTAGTTCTCTACCTAAAACCATGTGGATGAGTTTAATTCCAAAACAAATGTATATGCTGATACTGCTTGCATTATTCATACCCATGCCCCATCCAGGACCCTGCTGTTCTGCCGTGATGATAATGAACCAAAACAATCTTACTGAGAAAATGTAGTGTAAGATTAAACAGTGTTGTAACTAACTGGTGTAATGGGGAGTTATCTGCATCATGGAATATCTCATCAAGATACCATAAGACCATAAACATTTCTAAACTCTTTCAGGTTCTCAATCTGGTATAAGGAGGACCTTAATGATTGACAGCTTCTTAAAAATCAAGTTAAAACCAGCAAAAAAGCTGGGAGCTAAAAAAAAAAGGAATTTTTAAACTAGTTAAAGTCTCAGCTATTTTGTTAAAATATTTTAGAGCTATTTTTTTTCCCTTGCAGGTGGATGTTCTGTTCAGGCAAAGCATCAACGTCGTCAGCCTTCCTGCTCTGTCTGCCATTGTGATCTTGAATGACACAGTTTTGTGGACTGGTAACTTTGGAAAGAGGAATGCCAGTGATCCTCTGTCAGGCCCACCCAGTGAATACACCATCTACAGGTTGTTTTTACACCAAATGGCACTCTATACTCTTTATTTATACATAACAATACCCTCAATTGTTTGTTTTATGTTTGTATTTTCTTAAAAGGTTTGTATTACACTGGTATTTTTTTGGTTTGCCTTATTTTATTCATATCAGGTACATTTTCAGGATTCCTTTGAGTAAACTAAAGTGTCATTGAAAATATAACTGGATAGAAGAAAAGTCTGTTTTAGTGGGAATCAGATAAAAATTCATTGTAAAAGTAAAATTTATTATTTCTGTAGTTTCTAATTAAAAGTTGCCTGAGGGGGCCGCCTAGCCAATTAAGAAACAATTTTCTAATTCTGTGAATTTAAGTATAAAGCCCATATAAAAGTAAAAGCTCTACTGCAGTGGTCTATTTATAACAGATAAATGAACCTTCTGTTTTCAAGTTTACCCAGGATTGCTCTTAGAGTTCTGATCTAGAGAAATCAATGCCCATTAATCAAGCCACAATGAAGTGAGCTACCAACAGCTTTCCCAAACAGCAATTCATTATGTCCATTAAAGTCTCTTTGTACTGCTATAGGCTATAATAGTGGTTTGAAAAAAACTCTGTCAGGCATGAAGTATGGTAAGAGCTATGATTTAAAGACTTTTGAGCCTGAATCAGTGGCTAAAAGAATTCCTTCTTGCAAAATGACAACACCTTCTGGACAAAAGCGGTTGGTTGGTTGGTTGGCAGCGTTTTCCATTTGGACAGTGGGTTTCTGCTCGTATCTTCATTATAAAAAACAAAGAAGCCACCCCTACAATATTCCTAACAACAAAGTGTTTACACTGCATAGAGTAAACAGAGTATGTAGAATAAAGCAGTGCTCTTCTGAATTTTTTGTGTTGCTGTAAGCTGTCAATTTTTGACAATGGCAATGTAATAGAAAAACAGACTGATTTAAAATTATATTTGAATATTTGATAGATTTTCAACCCATCACTTTCACAAGACTTCAGGCAATTTATTGCCTAAAAGAATACAAACTTGTTATTTTGGTCATGGTCTACACCTCATGACCTCAGATGAGGGTGAATGGATAAAAAAAAATCAAGAGGTTTGTCAGGGTATGTCATAGAGGACCAGACCACCGTGACATACCCTGGTTACAACAGAAGAGGCCAAAATATTTCCATTTCCCACTCCATCCTGACATTGCCTTTGAGAATCAGACCATATCACTTGAAACTGATGCTCATCTTGAGACACAGACTGACCCCTTAGCTGGTTAAAAACCATGGCCTCAGACTTTGTAAAAAAAATCCTTTTCTACCCACTTACTTCACATTTGTCTGAAAACTCCTTTGTTGGGTGTTGAAGGTCATAGTTTGAAGATGCTAAAAAAAAAAAGATTAAACTCTGATGTTTCCAACCAGAGCCCCTCCTCTCCGTGATTTGAGATGTTGTCATACAACCTGACAACCAGTGGCAGAGACAAGGTAAAACATCTAAGGGAGTCGAAGTCATACCAGCAACAAGCTCAATTTTATGCAGAGAACGTTGACAAAGTTCCTTTTGGATGTACAACGACCAAAAGTAACTTTTATCAGTAGTGTAGTTGTAAAAAAAAAAAAAAGAAGAAGGGGAACTTTTTTTTTTAAGCATACATAGCCTAATTGCTATAGTCTAGTAACCTAAAGCAATATGCATGGCATGGTTGTTACATGTCAGGTTTGCAGGTCAATGACCTTGACCAAGGCACCTTCCAGTAGAGCTGCAGTCTGTCCCTGGACCGGCATGGTTATCACTGCCTCTACATAGTTAGGGACTAATTACCCACTGGGATCAGCTTCATAGTCATGGTAGGCCACTTCTTTGATTTTATTTATTTTGCTCAGGCTACTCATACTGTAAGCCAAATGCTGAAAGGGCAATATTATTGCCATTACTGTTAATATATAGGGGGAATTTTACACATTCAGTAATAAGATACCACAGGGGATGGGATGAGGGGATGACATTTTGAATCTATATGATTTTTTTAAAGATTTTTTTAATATGGGGGATGACATCCCCTCTCATCCCCCCTTAACAAGAGTACTGACTATTATCAAATATATATTAAAAAAAATGATACACTTTAAAAATGCTCTCATTATATTTACTCTCTTATCAGACATGTTTTCCCTTCGTGATCATACCATTAAAAGCTCAAATCATAAAAAATAAAAAAAAGCAAAGATTGTGTTTTTTTAACGCTCTGAATAAACTCTCCCTAAAGCTGTCAGAATGATGCAGACTTTCAAAGAGAGCTGCTTGGTTCCATCTACTTAATTTATTGTGTAGCTTTGAATGCATGATAAACACATTTCACATTTTGTTTTTTGATACTTTTGTATGAAACGTTTTTGAAAATTATTTAAGGATTAACAATGTATACAACGGACACGGAGATGGAAAGGGAGGGATAAGAACTAGGTGGAGAGAGAGAGACAGATAAAGACCGGAAAGAGTGCATAACAAGAGAGAAAATAAAACAAAGGAGCAAATACAGACTAAAAAGACTATATAAAGTTACTCCTACAAGTCTGCTTCCACAACTGTATGAGACGAGAGGAACAGAAAACAGAGAACGTAACAGGAAAGAAAAGACAACAGAGAGTCAAAGAAAACATTTTTAAAAAGCTACCAGAGCAGCGACTATCCCTTAGCTATTCATGTTTGTCGAAGGCAAAACCTATGTTGATTACACAATATTATTCAAGGTGGTACATTTCTCCAGCTGCAGCTTAGTAATTTATATTAGTCTGTATCTGTGAAAACCTGGAACCAAACTCCCGTGGCATGTATGCATGGGCATGCTCGAGTATAAAGGACTTATAAAGCTTCCTCAGAAGAAAAGTATGCTTAATAGCAGTTGTGAGCAGCTCCAGACTTGCCCTACAGGGCTCTGGACAGAAAAAGAGGCGATGCAAGCCGCAGATATCCAGAGCCAGCCCACATCACTGGGACACAATAGAGGCAGACATAGGGATGGCAGCTCCCTCCATAGAAGTGCAGACGAGAGCACCTGCAGCCCGACCCCTTAGGGGCAAAAACCCCAAAGGGGCCTAGTCCCTGAGGGGCCTGAACCCGGAGGCCATAGTGCAGAGGTCCCACAGGGCCGCGGAAGCTAGGCCATGGGCTCCGCCAGCTGCCATGCCCAAAGTGAATCTGGTGAATAATAAGGGGGAGGAGTCAGGCCCTACTCACACTCAGGGCCCAGGATGTTCAGTAGGTGGGGCGGGGGAGGCAAACACCACACCTGACAAGTAGATAAGTAGACAAGGAACAACTTCACATTCATCCAGTCACATTCACACAATCGCACCTTTACACCCATACAGACACCTCACCCCCAACCGATCACAGCTGTTCTAGGCCAAGTACAGCATGCCAGCCACCCGAGCCCAGGTGCCGACACCCCCCAGTGTCCCCCAGCATCCTACCATCGACTACAGGCATAGGCTGGATGCAGGTTACGGCAGGTAGCACTAGAAGCCCCCACCAGAAGCTGAGATGCATCCCATACTGTGATGTTCCTATAAATTGAAATCCCTTTATTTTCCCACAATGAGGAAATTAACTCTCTGCATTTAACCCATCCTCTTGGGGAGCAGTGGGCTGCCATTGTGTGGCGCTCAGGGAGCAGTGTGGGGTTAAGGGTCTTGCTCAGGGGCCCAGAGTGGCAGTCCATGGGAATGAATGGGACTTAAACTCAGAACCTCTGGGGCCCAAGCGTAGTGCTCTAACCACTAGGCCACCACTCCCCCATTTGTATCCCAGCTGCCATACAGCCACACCAGTTAGCTCTCCCGCAAAGTCAGGGCCAAACCTAATTGAAAATTTCTGTTTTAAAAAAAGCAGATCCAAACTAACATAACCATCACAACCTTAAAAAATATGACATATTATAAAAAGACAAAATCTAAGGAGTTTATATATATATATATATTAAGGAGTTTATATATATATATATAT